CATCATTGTGTGAGGCGATGAAGACTTGGTCTGGTATTGCCTTAGCTGGTTCGGGTATTCCATGATCTTGCGAGGCAACAAAGACCTGGATTCCAGGGCCAATGCTATAGACTTCAACAAATACTATAAGGACTGCTCGACTAATAGCATGGAATACTGGATCAAAGAACAAGAAAGACACCCAATCCTAGAGCTGGACCAAACCAAACAGCTGAATGGATTGGTAGTGAAATACAAATTGGAGGTCCTGCAATCCATTGACTCTAACGTGGAGCCACCTGGACACTTGAAGGATGGACTGGGTATGTCATCCGAGTTCATGCCACAACAGGACATATCATGGAAGTTAATGCCTCAGTATTTCAGACCCTGGATTGTCTTAGAGATGATAGGGAATGCCCCTGATGGCCCATTCTATGTGAGTGATGTCCTCCTCATCTTCGCACGTACCCTGTTTTCCATGCATCCAAATTTCTGCCGTTTTCACAAAGCAATCAATTTTCTTCTCAATGTTCCATGCTGCCACCAACCGCTGATGGACAACTCGACATCAACCAACCGATAACGGACAAGTCGACATCAACCATATGGCGGAGCACAAGGTTCTAACTATGTAAAAGCCACCGGGCAGAGGAAGACGACCGAAGCCACAAATGCAGAACTAATCACATGGATCCAAGTGAATATCGGTTGTTCACCATAGCAGAACTAACCAAGTCTGCATGTCAAGTGGTTCTGCAGTATGACAGGGATCTAAAAGGGAAGCAATGACAAGAATGAAGGGTTCTCAGAGGGGTTTGAACCTTAGAGGGCATGTGAGGCGTCAGGCCTCAGCACTGTGCAAAGAGAAAGGGTGGCACTGGTCTGAGAGATCAGGGAGAAGGGGCATTAGTGTGGACTGACACTTGCCTGGTGGTCGCAGAGGAGCACTCAAATGTCAAACTCTTCAGCATCGTGTAGCAAGAGGGCTGTGGACAGAAACTGTTGAGAGAGAGTAGCCTAGCGTGTGTGTAGGTAGAGTAGGAGAGAGGATAGGTGGACACATCATAGTAGGGCTACTGCATTGTTATTGCATTGATTAGTGGAGGCGAGAGGTGGGGCTTTCTTTGTCGAGAGACTTCAGTGTTCGGAGTCCTCTCATTGGTGTGGTCTCGATTTGTGTAATTCTGCTTTTAACTTGGCTCACACATGCTGATTTTGTTGGTCTTCTGCATCATGGAAATATTGGGTTCTTGACTCCGTATTGACTGGTTCAATAGGATATCCACACCATCTACCATACAGTCATCCCATGAAGCAGTTCCCAGTCATGACCTGGCAATAGACAAGAACCTTTTTTTTTTTTTTTTTTTTGAAAACCCGTGCCGGAGTGCTACAGGGGGTGATGTGAGCATCCCCTTTAGCAGCACCTGCTGCGAATAGCTCCGGTCTATTGGCGGGGAGCAGCACCGGCTGGAAAACGAGTCCAGCATCCCATCGACATCCATGTGAATCACAATAGACTAGAACTTATTGTAGTCCAGGTTCTACAATACGCTAGAACATAGTAGTCTAGGTTCTACAATACACTAGAACCTAATTGATCCTTTTTGTGTTCACCATCCAACCAGGAAAGCATTTTCAGTAGTTAACGAAAAGTACGCCCATCACACAGCATTTTCCTGCTTAGACTACTTCCTAGTATCTGCAATGCTAATGGAATACTGCAGGGAATCTCTATACATACTAAAGCAAGCAAAGGGTCTGGCGACATGGTCGTTCGCCGGCCCAGCGGAAACCGCTTGGGACACCGCGGTCGGAAGGAGGTGTCGACCGTCGCGGGGGCAAGGGAAAAGCAAAGCGGGCAAGGGGCGGATGGCCGAGCCGACGCAGGGGAACTGGCCCAGGGCTGACGCCCGCGCAGAGACGGGCGGGGAAAGTAGCGGGCAGGGAAAAGCGAAGCGGGCAAGGGGCGGAGGGCCGAGCCGACGCAGGCAGGCAGCGAAAACCGAATCGGCCGAGTGCGGGAGTGCGGTGCGGTGCGTGAGTGCGAGAGTGCGGTAGTGCGGTGCGTGAGTGCAACTGCATTTATTTTTTTTTTGGCCGTAGCGTTGGGCGCAGGGGCCAAACTAGCTTAAGATACGCATCGCCGAACAGGTAAGTCTCCAACCCCTGGGCTGGCCTCACGATGCTTGCATCGATAGATGAGCAAAATTGAATGAATCTTCCGCCAGGACATGGACATATACCTGCTACACGTGTGTGTGTGTGTGTGTGTGTGTGTGTGTGTGTGTGTGTGTGTGTGTGTGTGTGAGTGTGTGTGTGTGAGTGTGTGTGTG